CTTCTGCCTCAGCCGCAGTGATGGTGTGTACCACCACTGTGGGCTACAAATTGTGTGTGTGTGTGTGTGTGTGTGTGTTAGGAATTGAACCCAGGGCTCTTACCACTGAGCCATATCCCCAGCCCTTTTTAAATTTTAAGACAGGGTCTTCCTAAGTTGCTTAGGGCCTCTCTAAATTGCTGAGGCTGACCTTGAATTTGGCAATCCTCCTGCCTCAGCATCCAGGGTTGCTAGAATTACTGGTGTGCACACAGCACTCAGCTACAAATGTGGTTTTATTTTGAAATTTACTTCTCATCTTTGTTTATATACACATGTAACTGTTAAGTAATTGAACTATAAGTAAAATTTGGTGTTTTAATTCTGCCACATGATATATCATAAGCAGTTTGGTTTGTTTGTTTCTTCCTTCCTCCCTCCTCCTTTCTTCCTCCTTTTTTGAGATGGGGTCTTACCATGTTGCCTAGGCTGATCTGGAACTTCTGAACTCAAAAGATTTTCCCTCCTCAGCCTCCCAAGAGCTGGGACTACCCAGTTTAATAATAATAATAGTAATAATACTAATAATAATCATTATTATTTATATTTATTTTTTAGTTGTAGTTGGACACAGTACCTTTATTTTATTTATTTATTTATTTTTATGTGGTGCTGAGGATCAAACCCAGGGCCTGGAACATGCTAGGCAGGCGCTCTACCGCTGAGCTACAGCTGCAGCCCTTAATAATTATTTTTAAAAGAACTAATTGTAGTTTTATGTTATAGGCCAAATTTAGTGGATTTTTAAAAAAATATTTATTTTTAGTTGTTGGACACAAAACCTTTGATCTTCTCTTCCTCTTCCTCTTTCTCTTCTTTCTTGTGCTGAGGATTGAACCCAGAGCCTCACATGTGTTAGAAGAGCATTCTACCTAGACGAGCTGAGCCACAACCCCAGCCTGAGGATTTTTAAATACTATGAATAGTTTTACATACCATACAGAAAATCATCACAAGAGTATAATTTTCTAAAGTAATTAAAACATTTGATGCCTTGTTTCTGAAGTGGGAATATCAGGAGTATCTCTGTAGTTGAATAGTGTTTAATTATTTTTCATAGAGTCAGCTCTTACTTGGTTATTTTTTTCTGAAATCAGTAAGAGGAAAATCTAATATGCATAAAAATACTTTTTTGAAATTTTCTTAACAAAGATATCATGGTGGAGGTTAACCTAGAGTTCTGTCGTTAAGTCCAGCATGGCCAGGTTTTTTCTTCCTGTTGGAAATGGTTACTTCTGAAGTTGATCATCAGGCCCAGCAGTTGGCTTTTGTTCAGGGCCTCTTTTTGAAGAAAGAAAAGCACTTATCATTACACAGCCTGGGGGTGTTTACCTTCGGAGGCCAGAGGGAACTTCGACTCAGTGGTGAAGTGCAGTTTGCTTTCTTCTCCTGCAGAAGAGACAGGGGTATAATTGCCCATCTTGAAGGAGGGTTCCCTCTTCCGTTCCCCTCCCCCTGCTCTTCCCTCTGTGTCTTCTTCCTGCCTGCCTCAGCCGAGAGTATATACTTAGTTGAATTTGTAATTTTTCAACTAGGTAGTTTCTTTTTTTTTTTTTTAAATATTTTATTTACATTTTAGTTTTTGGCAGAGACAACATCTTTGTTTGTATGTGGTGCTGAGGATCGAACCCGGGCCGCACACATGCCAGGCGAGTGCGCTACCACTTGAGCCACATCCCCAGTCCTCAACTAGGTAGTTTCAAAACAGTAACAAAATTAAAGCCCAGTTTATGTAACAGATGTTTGTTTGTTTTTGCATGCTGGGGATCAAACCTAGGGCCTCAAGCACACTAGGCAATAGAACAGGTGTTTTTAACAATATTTGTTCCTTACAGATGTGATATGACCATTTCATATGGTATCTCTTTTTATGTGTTATTTGATTCAGGTTTGTGATAATTGTCTGTGTGACTTAAAGATATATTTTGTCAATTCAGATAAGTAAATTTCAGAAGTGTCTATTTTCTGCTTTATTAGTTTTAGAAGCCAAAAACTTTCTTAAAAGAATCAAATAACATTTCTCATTAATTACAAATGAGATGCTCCCACACTAGATTTATAAATTACCTGTGTAGTGGTAATAATAATTGTAGTAATAATAGGAGCTAGCCTTCAACCTGTGCCTGTTTAGGCCAGGTGCTGTCTAGTGAATTACTTTATTTAATCCTCTCACATGAATGCAAACTCCATGCAGGTGAGGACTTTGTCTTTCATTCATACAAATGCCACATAAGAGCTACTCAATAAATATTTGTCCAGTGAATGGTTAGTGGAGTTTGAATAGTTCGAATGCTATTTTAGCAGTGAGGAGTGAATCTTACTTTGCGGAGCATTGTGGGATGATTGTTGTCATTGTGACAGTGGAGACATAGTAATTAATTATAGCCAGATGTGCAGTAATTCGGTGTTAATTATTATTGCTGTAGGTCAGGTTGGCAAACTTTTTTTTTGTAAAAGGACAGACAATGGTATTTTAGACTTGGAAGGCCAAATGTTCTCTGTGACACAAATGCTCTCTGTGACATTTACTCCAGTCTGCTGTTGCATCATGAAAGCAGCCTTAGACCATATAGAAATGGATTATTGTGACTGTGTTCCAATAAAACTTTCATTTGCAGCTGTGTGCAGTAGTGCATGCCTATAATCCCAGCTACTCAGGAGTCGGAGGTAGGAGGATCATAAGGCCATCCTGGACAACTTAGACTGTGTCTCAAAATAAAGAATTAAAAGGGATGGGGATGTAGCTCAGTGGTTGACTGTCGTTGGTTCAATCCCCAGTACTGTCAAAAGCCAAAACAGAAGAAACAATAGAAACAAACCCCATGAGGACACCAATACCAACAAACTTCATTTGTAAGAACAGGTGACAGGTTAGAAGTGCCTGAGGTAGTATATAGGTTCTGTAGTTTGCCAGCCTTTGCTCTTCGGTGATCTCTTGCCACTAATGCCACTAGTAAATGACACATGCAGATTCTGGCCTCCAAATCACACAGCAGTACTCGTAGTAGTGTGGTGGTCATATACATGACCCAGAATATGGTTTTATTGTTCCCAAGATTAATCTGGAAATGGAAACAAAATTTAGAAAATTGTCATGAAGAATTTAGCCATTTCCAGGAATTCTTATTCCTACTTTGAGGAAAAGTGATAGAAAGGAATAGTAAATATAATACATGAGATATATTATATAGAACATTGTGGTATACTCTGATTTAATTTGTGTTCATAATTTAAATTTGTGTTACCTAGTGAGAGACCAGTGTTGGAGAGTGGGAGAGGAAGCTTTTCAGTATCTTTTTCCTTTGTAATTATAGGCTACTGGTACCAACTCCAGTTTTTTCTTTAGTGCCTAGATTTTATTCAATTTTTGTTGTTTCTGGTTGCTTTTTCTTTGGCTTACTGTCTGTCCAAAATTCTTTTGACTTGGGAGCAAATTATTAAGTAACCATCATGTGTGTGAAAGCCTACTGGGAACATTTAGAAGTGACCTAGGAAAGGACCAGTTTTGTTTGTTTTGGAGATTGAACCTAGGGGCACTCTACCACTGAGCTCCATCCCCAGCCCTTGTTTTTTTTTTTTTTTAAATATTTATTTATTTTTTTATTTTTAGTTTTTTGGCAGACACAACATCTTTGTATGTGGTGCTGAGGATCGAACCCGGGCCGCACGCATGCCAGGCGAGCGCGCTACCGCTTGAGCCACATCCCCAGCCCCCCAGCCCTTGTTTTTTTTTTCTTTTCCTTTCTTTTTTTTTTTTAAATATTGATTTTTTTTTTAACTACACTTCAGCGGAATGCATTACAATTCTTATTATACATATACCCAGCCATTGTTATTTTTATTTTGAGACAGGGTCTCACTGGGATTACAGGTGTGTACCACCATGCCTGACTGGAGAGGACTAGTCCTAATGATCAAAATATAAATTGTGTAATGTTAAGAAATATTTTTATTATATATTATAACTAAACTTTCTATAACCAGCCAACTTGCTTTAATGGATGTGTAATTCATATAGTCATCATTTAATTTGTGATTAAAATTATTTGAGAATAGTTTAATCAACAACAGCTTAATCACATCCGAGAATGAATTACAACAGTTTAATCTAATTAGGGAAATTATCTGACTTATGCTATTTATGTAGATATATTTCTTCATTTGGGAATGAATACCTTCATTTCTTCATTCAGTAAGACGAATTTCATTAAAAATTGTCACAAATTTCTTTTTTTTAAATATTTACTTTTTAGCTTTAGGTGGACACAGTATTTTAAATTTATTTTTATGTGGTGCTGAGGATCGAACCCAGTGCCTCAAGCATGCCAGGCGAGCGTGCTACTACTTGAGCCACATCCCCAGTTCCTTGTCACAAATTTCTTATCAGTAGGGTCCATATCATGTGCTATTTGTGTTATAGCTTTTTAGACACAGAGATTGAAAATGTGCAACTGAAAGCAACAATTATATAGGAAGTTTAATTCAAAGGTTGGGATTATACTCTGTAGTTTCTGCGTTGTGTGCCCTTTGGCATGTTAGTATTCTTTTCTGGGTTTCTGTTTCCAAATCTATAAAATAGAGATGATGATAATAATAACAACAATACCAACATATAGGGGTTTGTGAGGATTAAGTGAGATTATGCATGAATGCATTTAATGAGGTTTTTTTTTGTTGTTGTTTGTTTTGAGGTTGAGTCTCATTGTGTTTCCTAGGCTAACCTCCAATTCTTGGGCTCAAGTGATCCTCCCATCTCAGCCTCCTGAGTAGCTGGGACCACAGGCATGCACCAACTTGCGTAGCTCAATGCATGTAAAGAGTTTTAACAAGTGTCTGGCATAGCCTGAATCTGTCAACATAAACTGCTATTATTTTTATTTTTATTTTTTTTAAAGAGAGAGAGAGAGAGAGAGAGAGAGAGAGAGAGAGAGAGAGAGAGAATTTTAATATTTACTTTTTAGTTTTCGGCAGACACAACATTCTTTGTTTGTATATGGTGCTGAGGATTGAACCCGGGCCGCATGCATGCCAGGTGAGTGCGCTGCCGCTTGAGCCACATCCCCAGCGCAACTGCTATTATTATGTAATAGAAAAGTTATATTTAGGAGTTCTTTGGGTTTGGGAATGAATACCTTTTTTGTTTAATATTGTTTAACATACAAACAATGTTTTTATGTATGTCTTTTAAGTATAGATGGACTGTTATGTTCTTTATTATAGCCTTTCATTGTATTATTTTCTAAATTATATTTAGTAACATGTTTATGCAAAACAGTGGTGATATGGGACACAATGTCTCAGCTGATGCAGGACACTACAGAGAAAATAGTTAAGTTAGAAATAAGGCATAACCCCATATTTTCATCATGTTTATAAACTGATGTAAGTATTAGCTGTTTAATATTTTAGAAGTTCTCAAATAAAGTGACAATGGTTTATCTTTTCATACATCAGGCTCCCACTTTATTTTTATTGATTCAGTCTTAAAATGTACACATTGAGCCTGGTTTCCTGTAACTCTTCACAACAGAATGATGTGCACTTGTTCTAATTGTTCAATTATACAGTGGCTTATTGTGTCTTTCTTTGTTCCTAGGATGATTGAGGAAGGTGGGAACAAGCGGAAGACCGTGGCAGAGAAGAGGCAGCTGTTCATAGAAATGCGTGAGTCTCTAGTCCTCCTAAGTGTTGAGTCTTTTTTTTTTTTTTTTTCTCATGATCAGTCATAGCTTTAATCAGAAGATTTATGTCACAAGCTGTAGAAATGGAAGAATGGGAGTTGGAGGACTCCAAGCCAGAACTTACATTTTAATTAAATTGATTTGAGTTGCTTTTGTAAGTACCGTCATAAATAATAATGTCACCTGGAATACCTGTGATCTTGAGTCGAACCAGTTAGTTTAGACCTCTTGCTGTAACTTTGTTGTTACCATGAACTTGTACATGGTGGTAAGTAGTTAATGATTAATACATTATGTAAATTATCTTCAACTAGATATCAACCCTAAGGTAGAGAGTCAGGGTAATAGTGTTAGATTAGTAGCTAGAGCTGATGGGAAAACTGAAATGAATGAACTGTACAAAATCTGTGAAAAAAGTATATTTTTACATAAAAAACAACAAAAATGAAAGATTTCAGAGAGCAAGGGACTGTTCTTAGTATTTGAAAGATTATTTTGCTGTGTAACGACTTGTCTTTGTGACCGTGACCAACTCTGATTCCTTTGCCATGATATGGGATTGTTGGTCTGGACCAGTAAGTATGAAGCCCTAAAAATATTTTTTACTCTTTTTCAAATGAAATCTTAAAAGGACTATCAACATATTACAAAATTGGTACTGTATGGTTAAAGCAGGAGATGGGAGGCAGAATCCCAGCCTAGAATAGCCCTGAAGCACTTGGGAGAATTCTAGAATTCTGTGTATCACAGTATAATGGTTAAGGTCCCAGAAGATCTTTCAACTGTACATATTTTAGTTCATTGGAAATACGGTTGTAGGAGGTAAAGCTGGGCTCAACCTATATCCATGTTGTCCTGTCAACCGAGGCTAGGTGATTCTTGTTAGATATGGTGGAGAAGAAATTTTTACCATTTGCTGTGCCTGGGTGGTCTTCAAGGACTTTTACAGTTTGAGTCTAATTGTTTGTCATTCAAGCCAGGTATTTTTTTGTCATCTCACCTTCTGCCTCCAAAGGAATCACAGAGTACAGCTGAATTTTACCTTATAAGTTAGTCTTTGTGTGTGTGTGTGTGTGTGTGTGTGTTTGTACTGGGGACTGAACCCATGGGTGCTTTATCACTGAGCTACATCCCAGCCCTTTTTTAATTTTGAGGCAGGTCTTGTTAAGCTGTTGAGGCTGGCCTCCAACTTGCAGTCCTCTGCTTTAGATTCCCAAGTAGCTGGAATCACAGGTGTGTGCCACTGTGCCTGTTTATAACTGAGTCTAGAATCTGTCTGTTGCTCAAACCACAGAAGCCTTGAGTCCAGGCTCTGCAGTTAGGCTGCTTGGCTAGGGTATTGTCTTTCTTACCTACTATATAACCTTAGGCAAGTTATTTAATCTATCTCTGTCTCAGTTTCCTTATCCATGAAATGGAATAGTACTGACTATAGAATTTTGAAGATTAAGTGGGACAATGAGGATAAAGCACTTTTCACAGTGCCCGAGCAATAGTGAGTAGTAAACAGTGAATGTGTTTTTGTGTTTATTACATTTTTTTTGTCATTATTGCTTTTATGAATAGAAGCAATGTGTTTCTTATACCTTCTTCCAGACTTGACTCTCAAGTTTGCTATTTATGTGTGCAAGGTTGAACTGTATAAGTTTGTGCCACTTCTTTGCTTCAATCCCTTTGGTTACTTTTTATCACCTTTATGAGAAAGTCCTAGCTCCAAAACATGTCTTAGTTCTCTCTTTTGCTCAGTTCACAAGTTCCCAGTTTCTTTCACATGCCTTATGTGTTAGTCAGCTTTTCATTACTGTAATACATACCCCAGAATAATCAGTTTTTAAAGAGAAAATATTTATTTTCGTTTTCAGTTTTAGAGGCTTTAGTCTATTGTGCTGCAGTCTGGCTGGGCACGAATCACCGAGCCACCACAAAGCACTTGTATGTTCAAACAGGAAACTTTATTGCCTGAACTCCAACAGCACTCCACGCACACTCCCCCGGGAACTCTCCCGAATGCCACCCAAGCGGCCCCTCACACCACACCAACCGGAACTCCCTCCCCCAGGAACCAACCAACACCAACTCCCCAGGAAATCCCAAAGTAGGGGCAGGGGTCTATATACAATTGAATCAATCCAGCATCATCTTAATGGCTCACCTCGCAACCATTACTTCTGGCAAAATGCCAGGGGCCATTCCCACTGGGCTGTGGTTCTCAAAACTATTGCTCATTCCTTTTGGGCCTGGGGCAAGGCAGCACATTATGGTGGGGACCCTGTGGTGGAGAAAAGCTGCTTATCCAGGACTGGGATTCAAAAGAGAGACAGGAAGAGGCTGAGGCCCCACTCTCCCCTTGAGGGCATACCTGCAGCAACTGGAAGACCTTCCCTTAGGCCTCACCTCTAGTTCCATGGCCTCCCAGGAGTGCTAAGCTGGGGACCATGTTTTTAGCACATGGACCTTTGGGACACATTTGAGATCCAGACTTGAGCACTGCACATCACATCGTTTCCCAGCAATGCTTACTGACTTTTCTGTGGCTGGATCATGATGCTCCATGCCTTTGTGCCTTTGTTAATACTGTTGCCTGAACTTCATCTGGCAAACATCTCCTGCTTGCCCTGCAAGGGGTTTTTCCCAGTCAATTTTGGCACATTTATTGAGAATGCACTGTGTTCCAGGTACTGTTCTGGGTGCTAAGGTGACAGGGGAGAAGAAAACACAGTTCCTGACTTTAGTTGTGAGGCTGGTGTTTTATTTAGCAAAGGGAAGCAGACAATGAAGGAAACCAAATAAATAGATACAGTGACTCCTGATACTAAATAGTGCCCAGGCGCCTTATATAAATAAACATGAGCACAGGGAGGTGGGGGGAGACAGAGAGAGAATATGAATGAATGAATGTGAGGATTTGTGATTCCAGGAGATACTTGAAGTAGTTCTGCAAAGAATTGGTTCTACTGCTTAGTGAATGTTATCACTCCAGCTCCTTATATTAGTTATTCTTTGTTACAAACTCAAGGATTCAGTCAGCCTGGGAGTTGTTTGCTAAGTGTGGCTTTGTGAGCCTCCCCTTTTTCTTCACAGAAGAGGTGCATTGGTGGCCACTGTACCCATTGTTGGAAGCCCCATTTCCTCATTCCCAGTAATATCAATTGACACTCCAGTGTAATTACCTTCTGTGGGTGCCAGTCACTTGCCTGATAGTCACTTGGGTGTATCATCTAGGTTTTGGGTTGATTTTAATATGTCAATTTTAACTTATTGATCTTTCTGTACTCTTTTATTAAGTCTTATTAGGTTAGTTTGTAGAGTTCTCCTTAGGTAGGTAACTATACCATTTTTAGAGACTATGATGGGAGAATCATGGGGGCCCAGGAAGGACCTGGGAGAAGCGATGTCCAGGCTGATAGCCTGTTGATGAGGTGAAGAAAGGGCTAAGGCAGTAGCACTTGCAAAGGCCCAAAGATGAGAGGCCGTGGCACTGCTGGGTGATTGCATGTAGTCCACCCTGGTTGGAGTGGGTATGAGGTGCAATTTGAAATGAATGCATGAACTGGGCCTTTTAGTTGGGCTGGGTGGTCTTGTGTTTTCTGAACTTGGCTTAATTGTAAGATTTTCTTGGGCACTTGCTAAAAATGAAGGTTTTAGTTGCCTCCCTCCAGATTTGGATTCAGTAAGTAACCTAGAGTGGGGCCTGGAATCTCTCTTTGTTTTTCTGGGGAATGTTTATGGTCAGGTGATATTAATTGACCCTTAGACTCATCATCTTCTGTTGTGATCACAGTTACCATATCGTGTTTCATGTTCTTCTGCTACCACACACTCCTGTTGGCTCACTATTATTTGTTTTTTGTCTCCTTACTGATAAAAAGGCTTTGAAGTTGATCTGGTTTCCACATTTGTTATTCCCTAAGAACTCTCTCTGCCCTGAAATCAAAGGAGGCAATTGTAGTGCACTAAAATAGCATTTTGGGGTGTATATTTCTTCAACATTTTAATGGAATAGAACTACATTTTCTTTTAGTGGAAATAGAGTTACAGGAAATATAGGAAGTGTCAAGAGAATAAGCTCCAGGCTGGTATCTCAAATAACATCTTAGTATATTGTAGACTTTTTTAAAAAAAATATTTATTTTTTAGTTTTAGGTGGACACAATATCTTTATTTTCTTTTATGTGGTGCTGAGGATCGAACCCAGCGCCTCACGCATGCCAGGTGAGCACGCTACCACTTCAGCCACATCCCGAGCCCAATTGAGACTTTTCTAAGGAGAGGGTTTTACAAGTAGTTCAGTGCTGTTTTCCTTTGTTGCTAGACTGTCGTTTCCCATAGGAGTTTAAGTTTTGGATACAAGTAGATTTAATAAAATTCTTCCATTTGTCACTATGCTCTTCTTGGGATTTGTTATCCTATACAACGTACAGCCCATGCCATGAATGAGGAGAACTGTAATGTAGAAGGAAGGGTTAGTTCCTTCCTGTCCTTTTTCCATCTTCCTCCCTTACTCCTGGGATTCCCAGGGCTCTCATATTGCTCCTGTTTGCTGAAGAGCTTACCTGGATTCTCCAACTGGGACTAGAGTTTTACCTGTGTGTTAAATTAGTATCCTTTGCTCCATTTCTTGATAAGCCTAAAACATATTGTTTGACATTAGTATTAAAATGACACTGGGCTGGGGTTGTGACCTAGTCTAGAGCTCCGCCTAGCATATGTGGGACCCTGGGTTCAATCCTCAGCACCACATAAAAATAAAAAAATAAAGGTATTGTGTCTAACTACAACTAAAAATAAATACTAAAAAAAGTAAAATGACACTTTACTGTATTTCTTATAACTAAGTGAAGAATGATTATTTCTACCTAAGACACCTGAAACCAATAATATAGTAATTTTCTTTCTTCTTCTTGAAACAGTGTTTTTCTGTGTTGCCTGTGCTGGCTTTGAACACCTGTCCTCAAGTGATCCTCCTGCCCCAGCTTCCTGAGT